AGGAATACCTTCCCACACCAGGCACCTCTTTCCTGTCCGTAAGGAGGCAGCTGGTGACTCCGTGGCTGTGCCCCAAATGGCAAGAACAGTTTGGAAAGCACTCACTGGGCTTTTAGGGTCAGCTGTTGGTGGCAATGGCATCAGGGGACAGCAGCTCTGGGAAGGATGAGCCAGAGCCTCGGGACTTGAGCTGCTGGAAGCTCTGGTGTTCTCATGTTTCAGCCCAGACTTCTCATGGCCATCGGATACTTGTTTTCTCCTACAGGAACATCACCCTTGCTCTTAAGGGAGATGTGTTTACTGCTGTGTTTACTCCATAAGTTTCACAAAAGAACAACTGTATCTTCTCTCAGCATTCAGGTTTTCTGGCTAAACAAATTATCTCAAGATCTTTGTATAAGAAAAAAAAAATCAGGATTAGCCTATAATTACTTTCCAGTCACATTTTAAGTTTGTGTCCCCTGATTAAAAGTGACCAGAGCTGCATGCAGAATTCCAGAGCAGGTTGCAGCAGAGGCTTCTATAGTGGCATTAACATTCCCTTCTCCTGGAAATCCCTCCATATGTGTGTGTGCTTTTTGTCAGATCTGCCTCAGATTGGGAGTTTGTCTTCATCTCAGGATCAACAAATACACCCAGATTTTTCCCTCCTTCTGTCATTTCCAACTGATGAGCTCCCAGCTTGCAGCAGAGATTCTTGTTAGCAATTCCCAAGGGCATGACCTTGTACTTTCCACTATTAAATTTCATCCCATTTCCAGTGTGCCAGCACTCCATGTTATCCAGCAGCACAGCTATTCCTGCTGCACAGCCAGTGCCTCCCAGCTTTGTGCCATCAGCAAATGCCATCAGCTCCCTCCTACCTTTTGTTCCAAGGCCTGTCTGAAAAATACTGTGCAAGAGCAAAAGCACACACGGGCCAGGCTGTGGTCCTGGGATCCAGGGAGGTGAGGCTACATGGGGAAAACATGGGAATCCAGGCACTTTCTGCCCATTCTTCCCTTTGGAATCTCACAAATTCCCTTTGGCTGCTGTGCAAAAATTTGGCAAATTTCCCTGTGGCTGCTGGTGCATCCACAGCTGGTGCACGTTTGAGGTGACTTCCCTACCTTTTCCACATGGTTATCTTTTTTATGGACTTGCTTTCCACTAATTTACTGAATAAATTAATGCCTCTATTATATATCTGTGTCTAGGAAACAATTATCAAGGGTATAATCTTAATCTTAGTTAAAAGCAATCAGTCTTTATGTATGTGTAAAGATACATCACATTTTTATTTTACATTTTTAAACTTACTTGCCTGTCCCCAACTTTTACCTTTTTACTTCATATTTTAGGTTTTAATGCTCTTGAGGTCTCACTAAGAGGTGTCTGAGTGGCTGGACTGCTTTACTTCCTCCAGCCTAAAACCAGCCAGTGCTTCAGGAGTTCCTCCACAATTCATTACCACCCTCCACCCCCCAAATTAAAACCTCTGTATTGGATGAGTGAGGATTCACTGCAGGTCCTTCAGGATTCTGGGTTTGGCAACACCTCGTTCCCTGAGCTGTGTGTCAGGTTCTCACAGGCCTTGCTCTCCCTTTGGGTCCAGTAATTTCCATTTCCATAAAATAATTCTTATCCTTTGCTCTGATCATCATGGAAAATAGAAGTAAAAGTCATTTAACACTGAGCCATGTATTAAAAAATAGACTGGAACACAAGATACAGAGAGGTTTGGGACACAAGACATGGAATGACTCTGTGTACTGTGACAAGATTGGTAAAGACAAAATGTACAAATATAACAAGCAGCTGGAAGTGCCAGCTTTTCCTGTCACAGGGATGGCACTGCAGGATTTCCCTCTCTGTAAGGACCAGAAGCAGCAGCCAGCAGGTTCTGCTGCACAGGAGCCCCAGGTCTCCAGGATCCAGCTTCCCAAAGTAGGTCACATTTGATCTCCCTCCAGGCACACTGCAAAAGGCAACATTTTACAGGAACTTCTCAAAATTCATATTTTGCTTGCTGATGCTGTCAACACACATCCTTTTCAGCTACAGCTCTACTGGCTCTACATATTTTCATTCCTTTTGGGTGCGAACAGGCCAGGAATCCTGTTTTTCCCTTCAGTTACCTGTATTTCTTCCAAAGTTCCTCTGAAAGTACGTATTGACATTCAGATCACATTTGCATTCAGATGATGGCTTGTTGTTGGAAAAAAATCCCTTCAGAGGGGGCTGATTAACTCCCTTTCAAATGTTTGCTGTCCCCGAGCAAGGGAGCCAAAGCAGAGCACAGCTCGCTGCGTGGCTCACATCTGAGTGTGAAGACACAGGCTGGTGCATTTTGCATTGCTCCCTCTGAACACCTGTGCTCTTTCCAGCTTAGACATGACCTAATGACAGACTGAAGTCCATCTGTTACAATGACTAGCCTTGGACTCAGAGGGAGAGTCCTGGGAATAATTTAGGAGTGCATTTTATAGCTACTTGCAAGCTTTTCATTTCAGATCAAGGCAAACACGAGGAGCAGGTGGAAATCTCCCGCAAAAGTACAACCTGACCTACATATGGTATTGTAAATGAAAGATATGTATAAAAATAAAACATTAACCATCCATCACAGTTGCAACAAAGCCCAGATATAAATCTTGCTGCTGGAAAGGAGCTCCATTGCACAAGGCTTAGCTAGAGCTTCATTTTGGAACCAGCAATGCTTCTGCCACCTCCAACACTGCTGCCACTCTCCAGCTTTCCTGTGTTTTCTGTAGCTCAGTGCTCACAGGCCTTTTGCTTTATCTCAGTCTCTCAGTTTCCATGTGGTTTTTGGCAGTCCAGCCTGGTGCTGGCTCCCAGCTCCGTTACCTCATGCTTTAGGAGCCACGGGCTGTGCAGGGTGGCCTGGACAGTGCATGGCCCGGTGGCGTGGGGCCACACATGTTCCCACAGCTGGGCTGAATGTCACCAAAGCAACGCTGCAAACATCGGCCAGGAGAGCTTGCTCACCAGAATGGCTTCTGGAGATCACAGAATACTCTGAGTTCAAAGGGACCCACGAGGATCATCAAGTCCAAGCCTTAAATGAATGGTCCTTACAGGGATTGAACCCTTTGTGTTAGCAGCACCGCCCTGACTAACTGAGCTAATCCCAGGTTATATCTGTTCAGTGGAACAGGGTTTTCTCCAGGGATTTTTGAGGATCCTGAGGAAGATGGATGGCAGTGAGGTGGGGGAACACACACCTCAGCCCCCCTCAGCACACACTTCCACTGTTACCTGACTCACAATACGAGATGGCTGCCAAACCTTTGCTGAGACCCTGCCTGCTCCACAGCCTCGCTCAGCCAGTGCCAGGCTTATGGACCTCACAGGGGGATAATGGGGAAGTTGGCTTCACAGAATCACAGAACCACAGAAAAGCTGGGACATCTGGAGATCATCCAGTCCAACCTGCTGGAGATGGTTACCTTGAGCAGGTGACACAGGAATGCATCCAGGGTTTGGATTATTCCAGAGAGGGGGTCTCCATGCCTTCCCTGGGCAGCTGGTCCAGTGCTCTGCTCAATGGACAGCCCTTCCTCATGTTGAGGTAGAATTTCTTGTGTTTTAGTTTATGGCCATTGCTCCTTGTTCTGTCTCTGGGCACCACTGAAAACAATCTGGTACTATCCTCTGACACCCCTTGGAGATATTGGCACGGATTGATGAGATCCCCTCTGAGTTTTCCCTTCTCCAGA